TCACTCCATCTTCTGTGGGTACCAAAGCTCTGCAAGCCTGAAGCCTCCAGCAGTCCCCAGAAGAGTCTCAGCTCTGGCTCTGAGCCAGGAGCCCCACCCTCCAAATTCATCTGGGCTGTCAACAATATATCCCTTCTGCAAGCGTCTAGGCAAAACCAACCTAACCCCAGAGCTGGCTGTCATTACCAAAGAAATGGCAGTGACCTCTAGAGCACCAGAGAAGGCTGGCCAGGGAGAGTTCACCAGTGATCTACCTGTCTCCCATGTGGCACCCCAAAATGGAAAGCAACTGAAGACCCTTGAGAAAATTGTCATTCAGGAGTAATCTCACCAGGGTGGGCCCTTACATAGGTACCTGGTGTGATTTGAGAAACCCCAGGCACTCTGTGCCCAAATCTCCCACTCTTTGTCACTGGCCCTGATATCCCACAATTAGACCTCATTCTACCAACATTTATGAGCAACTACCATTTGCCAGGCATTGTGCTAAGCATTGGGCTTAATTCCTTTGGGTTATATACTACCCTCTCTAAGCATTTTCTTTTGAAATGCAAATACCCTGAGAAGGGTAATGCACTGAATCACTAATACCCCTGAATCAATTGGCAGTTTCTTTCTTTTAAAGCAGTAGAGAAAGCCTGGACATCCTTAGCAAAAAGAGGGGCTAAAGTTCAAAGGGCAGAGGTGACTGCAGAACTAAAAAGCAAGACAGAGCAACAACCTGGCCTTTGCCTGCAGTGGATGTCTAGGGTCACATCTCCTCCTTCCTTTATCCTTTCACCAAGACAAACACACCCACTGCCTCCACAAGCAGCCACAGTGCCCATAAGTGCAGCTGATAAGGCTAGCTGGATTCAAGAGAGCAGCCCAAGGCTGGATAGCCTTGGTCCTGCTGCAGAGGGGTCTGACCTGCCTTTCACCATCTCCAGGGTGAGGACGCCCTGAACCAGTGCCTGCTTGCTCCCCAACAAGTCTAGGGCTTGGAGTTCAGGTAATTAGGCCCTTGGTAATCTCACCTGAGCCTGCCAATAAAACAATCAACCCCAGCCCCTGCTCAGGACAGAGAGAAAAGAAGGAGAAAGGGGAGGAGAGAAACTTTTTTTCTATGCTGCATCCACGGCTTGGCAACCAAATGGGAAAATGCTATTAGTCTACAGGCAACCACTCCAAATATCCTACCCCCACTCCATACCCAGGATTGTCCCCTCCTGCCACAGAACCCTAGCCTTGGTCTGCCACCATCATCAGGGTGACAGGGGCACCTGTGTGGGCTGCAACCTGAACAGGAGCCAGGCAGCGAGAGCCTCTGCTTGCAGAGGCAGGCTTTCCCTAGCGTGGCTCCTTCCACCACCGAGGAGGGAAGGAAGGGCACCAAAATCTCCCATTTCACCCTGAAAGCCACAGCCTCCAAAATGTCTAGAAGGATGCTCCAGATGCTCTCTTTAGAGCAACTGAGTGACTTCTTTGTACCCTGCCTTATTTCACCAGCAGCTATTGAGGGTTCAGTCCTTGCCTGGGCTCCTACAGAGTGAAGACCACTCCTTAGTATCTCTACGCTGGTGCAATGCCCAGCAGGTACCTGGCACTCCAATAGAACTTTTCTTTTTCCCATAAATAATAAACATTAATACTTCTGGTATATGATCACACTGATATGGGATGGAATTCCATACCTGGTCCTTTTTACTCCCTATATCGATTAAACTCATTCCTAAGACACACAACAGAAAAGGGCTTTTCTGTCACATGGTAAGGTGAGGGAGAAAACAATTGAACAGCAAAAATTGCCATTTAGTGGTTGCTTGCTAGGGGTCTAGCATAAATACTCTATGAGGATTACCTAAGTTAATTCTTTCTAAGGTACTATTATTATCCCTATTTACAGACAAAGAAACTGAGGCTAAAAAAAAAATTTGTCCAAGATCACAGTGAAGGTTTAATGGTTACTTATTTAATTGAAGACTCTCTTTTGAACTGGTAGAAAGGGGTGCCCCCACCCCCAACAACAACAACAAAAAGTCCTATCAAATCTCACCAATATGTGAGCCGGCTGCGGAGCAAGCCAGCAAGCCCGATTTGCTCTTCTCCTTGGGTGTAGCAAGTCCAGCTAGCCTAAAAGTGTTTGGGGGACATCTCTGGAGAGGCTACACTCCTCCATCATCTTTGGGACCCTGAAAGCTCTCAAAGATCCCCAAAGTTCCCACTGACTCTGCCTTTCCTAACGCGGGTCTCTATCGAACAAAAGTGGGGATTCTGGCTCCTCACTCTCCTCTCCTGGGGATAGGTTTCAACAGGTTGGCGAGGTGCATCACCGTAGGGTCCACCGGAGTTGAGCTGAGCGGCCCGGAGGTCTCTTACTTTTTTCCTCGCCACCCTGAGGCTGAGCTGTGCCTCTCGCGGAGAAATATGGGCACTGCAGTCAATATTGGGGCCTGTGGTTCGCCCAAGGCCGCGGACCTCACGGAGCCTCGGGCCCGCAGGAGCCCGCGGAGAACTCCGCCACCTCCGGGTCACGCGCAACATGAGGCGCAGCAGAGGGACCAGGACTCGGACTGGAGCGGCCGAAGCTCAGTGGTCAACGCGGCTCCCCGCCTCGCCCCTTCTGCTATGTCTACCGCCAGAGGCTGGAAACGCTGGCTAATATTTCACGCCCCCCAGACCGCCTCCCTAGGTGACGCTACAGTCTGTGCGGTTCCTTTAAAGGCTGCAGGTTCCGTTTTTCTTTCCTTTTCCACTGGATGCCAAAATATGCAAATCCGGGGACCGGAATCTGCAGCCAAATCGAGAAGAAGGGGCGCGGCGGGCACGTCACCGGATCTGCTCCTTGTATGGCTCTTCCCGGCTTGGCCCGCCGCCCAGCGACCCTCCCTACAGACGCCGGAGCCCCTCCTGCGCTCAGCCCAGCTCACACTGCCTCCTACGTCCCCGGGCCCGCCGCCCTCCCCCCGCCCCCCCCCCCCGGGAGGGAGCCGGGGGCGGGAGGCGCTGCACGCCCTGATTCCGGCCGGAGCCGGGACCGCTGCAGAGCGCTCGCTCTCCGCGCCGCGCGGGTGGAGGAGAGCCCGGGGTCCCAGTGCCTCGCCGATATAGGTGTGGGAAGCCTGGCGGGAGTGGTGGCAGGGGCGGGGAAGAAGGGGCTCGTGGGCGGCGGGAATCCCTCCTTTCCTAAGAACCGGAGAAGATCCAGGAGAGACCGGGCCCTCCCACCCCCAGTTCTCCACCAAGTGAAATGGAAGGGAGGAGAGCGTGGTTGTCATCCACCCCCTACCTGATGTGCAACTCGGGAGTTCCTCCCACGCGTCCCCCGGCCCGCGTGGCCCTCCCACGGCGTGAGGCCCGGGGATCCTCTCTTCCTCCTTGTCAACACTCCTACTCCCCCTGAGAAATGCACGTCTCCCCCAACCGGACTCCCCAGCAAGGGACATGGGATTCACCGCATCCATGCGGCCACGGAGGAGGGAATCCTCCCACGCCAAGCTGGTGTGATTCGGGGTCGCTCCCCCACGCTCCCTTCCTTCTCCTTCCCTTCTCCCGGGCCTGGCCGCGCGCGCTCCGGGAGCAGGCCTCGGGGAACATATCAGCCGCCCCCGGGATCTGCTGCCGCTATGTGAGGTGACAGCACTCTGGGTTGGCAAACAGGCGGCCCTTGACTGCAGGGCGCCAGGGACAGCCTTGTAGAAGGCGGTGGTTAGTTAGGGTAGAGACTACGGGAGGCCACTGGAGGCCACCGTAGTGTCAGACTGTGAGTTCAGCAAGATCCTGCTGCAACTCAGTGTTGAACCCTTCCCAGGCAGCAATAGACGGCGGCTGTGCCTGGTAGGCCCTCCTGCCATTCCCCGGCCAAAGAGGGTGCTTAGGAACCGTTAGGGAATTGAGGGTTTGGTGCACGTGTTTCCTATCTGCTCCACTTCATTTTTACTTCTTCACCAACAAAACTGCACATCCTTGACGCCAAAAGTGCGGAGTTATCGCCTTCCGCTCAGCCTCTCTGCAGCTACGACTCTCCCCACAACAGCGCTCAGCTAGGAATCAGCGCAGGGTCAGGGGCACAGGGAGAGGCTGGGATGTGGGCGGCGAATCATAGAGAGGGGGGTACAAAAGTTCTCGGGATATGGGACCAGGCATCCCTGACACGCTGGAATCCTTCTCCAAGGGACGCGCTTCCTTTCTCCCAGTCTCAGGCAGGGTCCTGGACGCGAGAAGAGCGGCAGGAGCAGAGTCGGAGCGCATGCCTTCCGGGTTCCCCAGAAGTTCCCAGGCTGCAAAGGGACGTCGCCCGGGTTTTCAATTATCATTCTTCCTGCTACGGGTGTTGGAGGCCACTAGCAAACAACCCACAAACACACCCTCCCTCCCGCCCCCGCCCCCAGCTGTCCCAATGTGTTCTAGTGCAGACCCAAAATAAACATACAGAAGATTAAGACTTTTTCAAACCCGCGCTGCGTGCTTTACGTTCAGTTGCATCCCTCTTTCCTCTCTCCTCTGGAATTGTCCTTTCTTCTCTTCTATTTCTCTCGTTCTCTCCCTTTTTTTTAAGATCCGCGAGCGGTGCGGACGCCGCAAGCTGGCTGCGGCCCGCTTCCTGCTTTCTAATGTTCCATTGTGAGGAGCTTCCATTGTGACGTCGCGCCCCTTCGGCTGGGCTTTGTCTGTCCATATATGGGCAGCTACGTCACGGAGCTTTCCCGGGGCTCAGATAAATAGGCTGGTGGAGTTCCCAGGCTGGGAGCTTTTGGGCAGCAGTGAGCTTGCTAGGAAGCGGCGGGACTGGTGGTGGTGGTAGCAGCGGCAGCAGCAACGGCAGAGGCGGCGGCAGTGGCAGCGGTGGCGACGGTGGCAGTGGCGGATCGGGGGGCGGGGGGACCGCCGGCGCGCGTCCGTTTGTAAGATAAATACTGAGGCGGTGTCCGATTCCCTCCGCCCAGACCCACCCCCACCCCAGACCCCAGACCCCCCCCCCCCCGCACACGCCCCCTCCCCTCGACCTAGCCTGGTACGGCACGAGACAGGCAACCAAGATTACCTCTTTTTGCCCTCTCTCTCACCCACCCCCAAAAGAGAAGATCCCCTCCTCTGGCCCACCCCTTCCCCTCTTCCCTCCCCCCTCCCCCCGAACTTTCCCTCTCGCATGCTTTTCCCCTGCACCACGGATCGCCTCTCGGATGCCGCTTGCCTGGAAGCTGCGTTAGGAGAGAGTGGCGGCGGTGGCGGCGGTGGCGGCGGCGGCAGCTCGGGAGTGCTATGACCGGCAAACTCGCCGAGAAGCTGCCGGTGACCATGAGCAGTTTGCTAAACCAATTGCCTGACAATCTGTACCCCGAGGAGATCCCCAGCGCGCTCAACCTCTTCTCCGGCAGCAGCGATTCGGTGGCCCATTACAATCAGATGGCTACAGGTAAGGGCGGCGAGGAGGCGACGAGGCAGCGAGGATGGAAAGGGAGAGGAGGAGAAGGGAACGAGCTAGCGATGGATGGATGGATGGATGGATGGATGGATGGATGGTTGGATGGAGAGATGGGGGCGCGCTGGGAATTTTCCAGGGGGCGAGTTGCTTTTCCCACCCACTCCCCCCGCCCTCCCCGATAGGGAAGGCTCGGTTGGCGACGCCACGGTAGAGGCTTCTGTTCTCCCGTGTGGGGGCAGCCGCCGACTGGAGGGAGGGAGGTGCGAGCGGCCCTGGGGTTCTCCACTCAGGGGGCGCAATCGCCGGGCTACGCGCAAGGCGTGGTGCCGTCGTCCCCTTTCCCAGGAGTAGCTGAGCGTCCCTTTCACCCGCGCTCTCCCCCCTTACTCCCTCAGCCCCCCACCCGGGATGGAGCCGTGTGCGGCGTGGAGTCCCCGCGGTGGGAGAGGTACTGCGACGCTGCCTTTCCGGGGCGTTCAGCAACCCGTGGGGGGTGGGGACGGTGGGGAGAGGGAGGGAGTCCACCTGCGCGGGGGCTGCCCCGGGGGGCGATCCTCAGGCCGAGGAGCTTGGGAAGAGCTGCCACTCCCGCCTTGGAGACACCGGCCGGTTTTCCGCCGCTCTCCACCCTCGCTAGCTGGAGCTGGGCTTTCTCCCTCTAGCAAGAGCCTAAAGCTTCTTCAGGCCTGGAGGAGACTGGGCCCGGGGGAGGTGGCGGGCGAGCTCCTTTTGCCGGCAGCTGCCCTCTACGCGCCGAGGACAAAGCGTCGGAGCTCTCGGGGTCATCGACCCCGGTGCAGTGCGCAAGGAGGGCTTCGTCGGGGCAGGAAAGGTGCGGCGTCCCGGCGCAGACAGGGCTAGGGGAAGAGGCCGAGTTGTGTGCGCTAGAGAGCGAGAACCCGGCGCGCTCGGGGTCTGAAACTACCTGTAGCTGCAGCTACCTGCCCGCCCCACCTCGAAACAACAATGCTTCTCGAGCGCGCGCGCGCGCGCATGTGTGTGGTACGTGAGTGTGTGCGCGGCGTGTGCGGTGTGTGTGCAGCAGCCACTCCACACCCCGATCCGTAGTATTTTGCTGTATCCAGGTTGCGCCCGGGAGCGCGGCACCGCCCGCTTTGCGCCGGGCGCAGCCTTCCTCTTACCCCATGCGCTGCGCACTCCACCCGGCCGCACCCTCCACACCTGGGCGATGATTTGGGCGCCCCGGCCCTGGAGCCAGCTGGGCTTCACTCACCCCTCCCCTCTCTCCCTGCTCTCCGCAGAGAATGTGATGGACATCGGTCTGACCAACGAGAAGCCCAACCCGGAACTCTCTTATTCGGGCTCCTTCCAGCCAGCCCCCGGCAACAAGACCGTGACCTACTTGGGAAAGTTCGCCTTCGACTCCCCTTCTAACTGGTGCCAGGACAACATCATTAGCCTCATGAGCGCTGGCATCTTGGGGGTGCCCCCGGCCTCAGGGGCACTCAGCACTCAGACCTCTACGGCCAGCATGGTGCAGCCACCTCAGGGCGACGTGGAGGCCATGTATCCGGCGCTGCCCCCCTATTCTAACTGCAGTGATCTCTACTCGGAGCCTGTGTCTTTCCACGACCCCCAGGGTAACCCTGGGCTCGCCTATTCCCCCCAGGATTATCAATCGGCCAAGCCGGCCTTGGACAGCAATCTCTTCCCCATGATTCCTGACTACAACCTATACCACCACCCCAACGATATGGGTTCTATTCCGGAGCACAAGCCCTTCCAGGGCATGGACCCAATCCGAGTCAACCCGCCCCCTATAACTCCCCTGGAAACTATCAAGGCATTCAAAGACAAGCAGATCCACCCAAGCTTCAGCAGCCTGCCTCAGCCGCCGCTCACACTCAAGCCCATCCGGCCCCGCAAGTACCCCAACCGACCCAGCAAGACCCCGCTCCACGAGCGGCCCCACGCGTGCCCGGCGGAGGGCTGCGACCGCCGTTTCAGCCGCTCCGACGAGCTGACGCGGCACCTGCGCATCCACACGGGCCACAAGCCCTTCCAGTGCCGGATCTGCATGCGGAGCTTCAGCCGCAGCGACCACCTTACCACTCACATCCGCACGCATACGGGAGAGAAGCCCTTTGCCTGCGAGTTCTGCGGGCGCAAGTTTGCACGCAGCGACGAGCGCAAGCGCCATGCCAAGATCCACCTCAAGCAAAAGGAGAAGAAGACGGAGAAGGGGGGTGCGCCTTCTGCGTCCTCAGCCCCCCCTGTGTCTCTGGCCCCTGTGGTCACCACCTGTGCCTGAGGTTCGGGGCCCCCAGATGCCCACATTTCCCCTCCAGTGTCTCCCTGCTGCTAGCCTGAAAGCAGCAGGAAAGCTAGTCACCAAGGCGCAGGGGCCGCCCCTGCCCTCTCCATGGACGTAAGGTCCCTTGTCTCTCTTCGATGTCCCCCGTTTTCACCCTTTCACACCGGCCAACAGTCGGGGGCCAAGGCAGGAGGCGCCTTCTTCTCGCTGTTCCCCCACCCCCTTTAGTCAAGGCGTAGGGGGGAAAGGTGGCGCCTAGCCCGCTCTGTTCAGTTTGGATCGTCTTGATCCAGGGGCCGCTGGGCCAAGCCAAGGACCTGCGGGAGACTGACGGAGGGGCTCACCCGAGCCTCGCCTCACCCAAGCACCTCACTGGTCCCCCGCACGTCTCCCTCGGTTCCCCCTCGAAGATCTGAGAGGGGTGAGGGTAAGGAGCGCACCAAAGCGCAAAGCTTGCTGCCCGCCGCACGCACGCGCGCCTGCGTGCGGGGATGCGCGCGAGTGTGCGTGCTCGCGTGAGTGTATGTGCGTGTGTGTGCGCGCGCACGCGTGTGTGTCAGACTCTTGAGCTGCACTGGACTGTGTCCACCCCCAAACTCTTCCCCACGTCGGGTCCCCAGGCCGCTGGGGGACTGTCCCAGGCCGGGGGCCTGCACATGGCCAGATGAGACGTGTCTTCCATCTGCTGGGAAATAATGTTTCTTACAGAAATGCCTCGGATGCCACCTCGGGCGGTGTCGCTACCGCCGCTTAGGTTTTGGCCCCTCGGAATCCCACCTTTTCTGAGAGCTTCCCTGTGACGCCTTAGAGCAGTTTGATCTGCAGGGAGAAGGGGCAGCTTTCACTGAACCTACCTTTTTAAAAATGTATTTCCTCAGCCCTACTTAAAAAAAAATCTGTGTCCTGAGTTTACCCTCTGCTGAGTTCACCCTCTTCTCCCTTCTCCCCTCTAAGCCTTCTCCCATCTCTTTCAAAACCATTTACCAGAAAGGCAGACCTCAACCAGCCACCCCATTTCACCATCTTTTTGTTTTCTCCCCGTCACATACCCATTTCTTCTTCCCACCATTAGTGGGAAAGCAGGCTCTTTTTTTGCCCGTGGTCACCAGCAGGTAGACTTCAAATGTATGTATATGGAGTGTGTGTGTGTGTGTGTGTGTGTGTGTGTGCGTGTGCGCACGCACATACATATACATATATATAATATACACACAATATGTATTCCTAACCAAATAAAATCTCTAAGGTACTTACTTGGCTATCCAGTGCAGTGCACTGGAATAAAGAGGATTTGTAGGCATACACAACTTTAAATGTTTTTTTTTAAGAAAAAATTAACTGATGAGATTATACATATGTGTATATTATGTGAATATATACATATATATCTATGTATGTGTATATATACATTTATCCATGTATGTATATATACATATTTATCTGTGTATGTATATATACATATATATGTATGTATGTATGCATACATATACACACATATACATCTCTGCCCAAAGTTCCCTCAAAAGATATAGGGATTTTTGCATTAATCTGTATTGATTAATGAGGTGTATCTTCTTTATACCCTAGTCTCACCTCCCTGCCCTACCTCACCTCTTCTCAGGCACACCCTCCTCCCCAGCCCTTCTCCACACTGGGTGACTCTTTTGAAGTATAGCAGTAGGGAAGGTTGCTCTCTGACACAGCTTCCAGCACAGTCCTGACTGAATGTACTGTTCCCTGTTCGCATTATTTCTCCTGTGGTCAGTAAGCTGCCCAGAGAGAAGGAACAAAAGTCTGGAGTTTACAGAATGTCTGTTTTTAAAGTCACTTTATGCATTACCCTTTTTTTTTTTTTTTTTTTTTTAAAGGAAAACGCACTGGTGTTTTTTTGTTTGGTTTTGTTTTGGTGGAGGATAAATACTAAAAGGAGTCTAGTGAAAGGGGGAAAAATCACAAAAGCAGGGGGATTGTGGATTTCCAGGTACTTGGATTTTTTGTAGAAGGAGAGAGAAGAGGATGAAGTTTGCCAGGAGGGCTCATATTTTTTCAGCTGAGAGGTAAAAATCTTTCTTTGCAGAGACAGTATTTTGCTGAATACTTTTTATAATGTGATGATTATTAAAACAAAAATTTTGGTCACTTCAAAGCTGGAAGGAGGAATCAGATATCCTTTAATATTTTTTCCTTGCTCCTTCTGGTTTATGCATGTCACTGCATGATAACTCTGAGTTTTCCTTTGTTTTAATAAAACTGTTCTCAGACATTTAAGCTAAACTAAGAGAAAAAAATAACTTTGTTGCCAAAAGGTTGTGCTATCCAGATTTTTTATATGTCTGCATGTTTTAAAAAAACAACAAAAGAAAATGCACTCTAACTTATGTGAACTGAGAGAAAAAAAATCAGGTTTTAAACAGGAAAACCTATGGGGAATGATATTTTTTGAAAGACTTTTGTATAAAGTTGAGTACTTAGAAAAAGACAAACCAGATGTAATATATTTTGTGGATGTTTTTATTTCTTGGATTTATAGTACCTTATACTAAGGTTAAAAAATATGCTTGATATTGTGAAAAGGTGAAATTCTTCACCAACATTTCATCTGCTCCTTTGTCACATTGTTATGCCAATATAATATAGTTAATGAAAACAGCATTTTTAAAACTGAAATATTAAAATGGTGTAATGTTGTACCATTTGCACTGTGAGCAAATGCTCACACAGTAAATATATTGTGTTTGCTGACAATCAGCTGGCCTATAAATCTCCTTATTTTATTTCTTGTTTTCATAGCATAAAGTTTTGGTTTGGCCTGTTCTTTGTCTTGTTTTGATTTTGGCGCGCGTTTGGTTTGATAGGTTTTTATGCCTGGTTTTGCTGGTCTTGCTCTGAAAATTCTCAGATGGAACTATGGAATTTGGTGTTATTGGCAGTTGGTCAGAACTTTGTGTGGTTCTAGTGTTTCCAGTGCTGAGTGTTTGCTGTGGTTTCAAGAGAATAGAATTCTTCTGCACCCTTCTGGGAGCTTCAAACTGCTGGAAAGATTAGGTGAACTTGTGGAATTCAGGGCTAGTGGATGGAACCTTGTAGAACCCTTGTCTCTGGTTTCCAATGAGTATTTGAGGATAGAAAATGAGGAGATCTGATTTATGAACTATTTCTCCGATGGTCACCGGGAGCACCAGAACTGGACCCCGGAGGATCTCTGCCAGCCCTGCGTGGTGTTCTTGCTAAAGCTTTTGAAGCTTGAAAAACAGGCAGAGACTTGAGAGGGTTCTTCAGGGTTGGCCAGATAACCAGAGAGGTTGGAAGCTCTTTTGTGGTCAGATAATTGGGGAACATCAGGTTTAAAGTCCTATAACTTCAGTCCCATTTAGACAGGATTCTCCAGGCCTCACTATTTGTAGCTGCCTGGGAAAAGGTGGTCCTGGCCGAAAAACCGCTTTTAGGAACTACCCAGGGATCTAATGCTTTTAAGAGAAGAAAGAACATTTGGCTTTGGAGAATATACAGGGAATGTTTTCTACAGCATTAACCCCTCATATCTTACAACTTCTGTCTCTCATAAAAGTGATGCTTTCTCTCCCTGAGCTTTCTTCCGCAGAAACTTCCCTGTCCTTAAATGAGTTTATTTACAAGCCCCCGAGGTTTCTCTTGAGAAGATATGTACCTCCCATGTCCTTCCTGTGTCCACATCTCCAGCCTATCCCCTCACCTGATTTCCTGTAGACTTTAGAATCCTTTCTCCCTGTGAGGCTTGTCCCCAAGCAGTCTTTGGACAAGTGAGCCCTGTCCCTCTCTTTATCCCTGTGTCCCCTGTAAAATACTCACCTAGACTTCTCTGTCAGGCATTTCCATATTATCTGCCTCAGCCAAGTTTAGGGGCTTGGTGTATGATACTGAGCTATGTAAATGTAGCACTGCACATGACTGGGAGACGTGTCTCAATGCCTGAGATACCAACCAGGCCAGCCACACAGTGACAGAATGTGCAGCACCTCTGCTCAGAAACTGCTCTTGCTGCCCCAATGCAGGCCCATCACAGTAAAACTGTGGGTGGTATTTCACTTGGCTGTAGTTACCAAGAAGTTGAGGGCAGACTTGCGTGGAGGAGGTGGGCTGTGGCTTTAGAAAAGAATGTTTTTGAAGTGAGAAATCAATAAAAAGAATGCAACCCTGGCCGATTTGGCTCAGCGGTTAGAGCGTCGGCCTGCGGTCCAGAGAGACCCAGGTTCAGTTCCTGCTAAGGGCGCATACCTCAGTTGCATTTGTCCCTGGCCCTGGTTGGTTGTGCGGGTGGCAGCCACTCGGTGTATCCCTTTCACATCGATGTTTCTCTCTCTCTCTCTTCCTCTCTCTCCCTCCCACTCTATCAGAACAAAAAATGGAAAAATGTCCTCGGGTGAGGATAAAAAAAAAAAAAAGAATGCAGTATGGAATCTTAAAGTTTCTCACCCACACAATTCTAGGTCACTGGCTGCCATCTTGAATTCCCTTCTCTCACCTCATCAAACTTGCAAAATTCCAAACTACAGTTTTATGTACAACCACAAGGTACCTTTCTTTTTTTAATTAAGGGAATCCAAGATGGTCAAACAGTCCTAATGATTGAGCATATAATCTATCTCTTTGCTAAACTAGATGGTTCCTTCTAGATTTCTATGTGTTTTTCAAAAGAATATCATCAGAGGAAGATAGCGTCGCTGGGTGTCTTCTTAGTTAGCACCCAGCCCCACCTGCACCTTCTCCAATCAAACCAGGCCTTCAGAGTTGCACTTTCGTCAACAGTGTATTATACTGTGTGGTTAATAAACTCATTTCCCATTGGTGCATATTACTCAACCCAACCTGGTTCAACCACTGGGTTACTTGGCAATATGGCAGCCCGTCTAGCTGGCACCAGCCCTCTGTGGTGTAATCTCTGATTCACACTTTGTAGCTAGATAAGGCTGTCTCTGATAGCATCACACCAGCAACTAGACCTGCCTGGGTTTGTAAATATGGGGAGAGGAAACTCAACTCTGAAACTGAGGGATAAAGTGGGGAGATGGTTGAAGAAAGGCCTGGCTGGGGCTATCATGAGAAGATTCTATGAAGGTTTTGCAAAGAAGAGGCTCAGGAGCAAAATCAGGCATAAATACATAAAAGAGGTAGAGGCCTTGCTTCTTCCAAGCAACTCCTAACGTGTTGGGGATGAATAAAAGGACACACACACTCCCCAGGAGTGGCATACTGAAGGCAAAGACTGCAAAATTGTACTCAGTGAACTTGAGTTAGGTACAAATGAGGAATATTTTGTGAGAACTTGGGGTAGAGTGGCATATGTTTTTATAAGGTGGTGGTGGTGATGGTGAATGTGTTTATGTACTATTCACAAGTATATAAAAGGGAATAGCAAAGTGGATTCTGGTGAATGAAGGCAGTAGCTTATGGCTAGTCACTAC